TTGGCGAACCGCCGGTGTTGGACAACTATAGCAAAAGGGCGAAAACAGAACAAAACAGAAAAGGCAACTGTGGGACACATAGCAGACCGGGGGGGATGCGCTTCTTGCGATTGATTCGATAAATCTCTCTCTCTGCCTAAACACTATAGACTATTCCACTACGAACAACAGAGTATTTTGAAACAACAGAATATTCTGGTATTAATAAGATGATAGATGCAGAAAACACGTTCTAAACGACCAAGTCGGGAATAACGAAAAACGATGATCCAACGACGGGAAGTATAACCACAAACCAATAGAGGGGACACAAGACGGGAAAATAGGGGATAATGATGAGAGAAAATAATTATGAGAGCAACAACCAACCACAAACACAACAAAGTAGCTATAGACTATGGATGGCTAAACTCTAGACGCTAAATATATAATCGTCGTGATAGGGCCTCTTTCTTATGTAGGGATATGACAGACGAAAGATAACGAATTAGGAGAGCTGCTCAGATTATTAAATCTATTTGACTTAAAAACACTTTAGCTGTGTTGATATTAGAGAAAGGGCAAGACTCCTTTGCGCTGAGCTAACTACTCGCTACGGGCTCAAGCTGTGTTAGACTGCCGCAATCACAGGAGCCGTAGAGTGCGTGGACAACGTCCGGGTTTTTGATACTGCCACTTTTTGCAGCTTCGAAGGATCCGATGCTTTGGCGAAACCATTTTCCATTAGGTCCTTGTCAACGCGTATTGGCTGAAACACGAACCGTCAGTCATAATTGCAGTAAATTTGAATGCTGGAAGTGCTAATCTGTTAGTTGTAAAACGATAAAGATGTTCAGTCTCAGCGTTGGAGTTCAATTACGCGATCACAACGAGATCCTTTTAGTCTTTCGCAAAAAAAGGCCTGATTATTTCCTTCCGCATCATTATCCTCCAGTGTGGCGTCAAATCAAAAAGAGCTCACCTTATTTTCCTCATCCAGTACTGTCAATTCTACCATAGGAACTTTATCATTCACATTGAATCCAACCACTGTTGCATTCATTACTTTGCCCATGCAAAGTTTTTGAAAGTGTGCAAACGCTGCCTCACCCCATTGCCATGTTCCTGTAAGTGTACACATCAATTTAGAGAAGGCAATATACAGGTTCTCGGAGACATTTTCCAATGAAAAAGTCATACCATCAATGGGTTGCACGTGTGCCAAATAACATTCAATCGCTTGGAATGGCAATGACATCAAATCTGTTCTGAAAGCAAAAATACACTTCAGTAGAAAACA